GGAAGAGGTAGAACGCCCTCTGGCCATTGACGCTCGCTTGTCGTTCCGCTTTTATCTCTCTCGCCTACGGGCAGAACATGCTTCAAGAAAAAGGTGCGCGCGATTTTGGTGTGGGGATGTAGACGCCTTACCTTATGCATTTGAGCCCACACGAACAGGCGGTTTCACGTATTTCCATCGAGCACACTCACTCGAATTCCAAGTGCACTTTCGTGGAGACCCCCCGCACAGAAATTTGTACGTCGTTCTTCATCCTCGAACCGAAGATCGCTGGTTGGAGATGGACCTGCTCTGTTGTTCCGAATTTTAATTTTGTCAAAACACGTGCATAATTATTATTGCTAAATTAGCCACCAACAGGGGGGCACGGTTTCACAGATCGTATACATAGGTGACGACAAGTCCCAACCGCCACTCACTGCTAAACAGGGCCACAGGTCAACAATGGAAAAAAATCACGTTATTAGCATCGATTGTAACATATCACGCCATCGTCTTCTCCCTCTCTGTCTCCGTCTCTCTCTACCTGGTTAACTTATTCTCGACCCTCTACTGTTCTCTCTTGTCTCTCGCACAAATGGTAAGGAAGCGAGCAAACACTACATATATATACGATTCGCCGCGCGTGGACCCTTCTTCTCCGCATCTGTGCCGAGGTAAGGACCTGTTCCACCCTTAACGTGTCTGACAGGGACTGCGGTGCTGATTGTTAACGAAGTTCGAAATCGATGTGGAGAACAGGACGCCCCCCTCCCTACTTCTCTTCCGTGGGCAAATGCTACATACTACTTGCCACACAGCAAGTTACACGCTGCCGAGGTCTACGCCAATAGAAGAATCGAACGGCTTGTAGCCATCGACCCCACCGCCGCCGAGGCCGCCACCGCCCCCGTTCCTACCGCCGTGCATGTTATCTCTTTCACTACCGCCAACACCACGGAGATATGCCCTATCTTCTTCTTCGATCAGAGCGCCGCCCTTCCGCTCGCCGGGCCCGAGGCCCGCGCCGTAGCAAGAAGGAGGCCTCGTCAACGCCAATGGTGGCGATGATGGCGATGATGGTGCTGTTGGTGCTGTTGCTGTGGGTGCGGTCGTCGTGGTTAGGGCTTTTTTCAGTTCTCCCCTACTGATCGTGCCGATCCACGACGGCGTTGTTGGCGCTGTTCTGAGAGCGGGAGCGATGGTGGATGTTGCCTTATTGTTGTTGTTATTGTCGTCGTTGCCGGCGCCCTTGGCGACGCACTCCGCGAAGTCTTCGGCGTTTCTCCACGGCTCGCTCGGACCCGACGTGGCCATCTGTCTCCACTCCGACATGTACCTATAAGGGCGGGGGGCGCGGGGACAGGTATCTCTTGTCATTGGTGCAGACGATATGTGCACGATTCCCACAAGCTCGATCGGTTTATGCGAATACCGTAGTACCTACTGCAAGCCCCCCCCCCCACCCCCCCCCCCACCGGGGTCGTGTCCCTTCTGAGGATGGCG